CCCCTCCCCCTCCTGGTTGGGCTGTAGGGCAGGCCCACCTCCAGCCTCCCTGCCACCTCCCCTTCCCTCCCCAGAGGGCAGGCTGCTCAGAGAGGCAGTGCAGCCTCAGGGGAGCCATGTTTCCAGTGGCCCCCAGCTCAGGCCGAGCCTCCACCAGTGTGTCCAAGGAGAAGCTGGCCGCTGCTGACCCTGCCCTACCAGTAGCAGGAGACCCAAGAGCCAAGCTGGACCCACCCTACCCTGGACCTGCCATCAGCTGTGATAGGACAGGTGGAAACGGGAGCTTGGTCGTGAGCATCGTCACCAACCGGTAAGGATAATGACCAAGGGCAAAAGCAGCAGCCCGGCCCGTGCCCAGCGCCGACCTTGGTGTTTTGTCTGAGAACTTGTTTTCATTACTGCCCACGACGAGGTGGAACTCATCCTCACCTTACAGATGAGGAAACTGAGACCCAGAGAAGTGCAATCATTAGTCCACGGTCACCTGGCCGGCGGGGGTGGACACGAGGGGTGGACACGTGGCTCCTGGCCAGGCTCTGAACTAGGCACATCACAGGGTCATTTTATTAAAACCTTGTCTCCCAGGGGTAACATAGGCAATTGATAGAAGATAAAAGGGAGGGTCAGATGGAAAGGGGCAAAACCCGAGGTCACAGAACTAGGAATATCTGACCTCAAGTCCTGGGCACTCGACCAGCAGGTGCCTGATTGTCACAGAGCCACCTTTGTCCAGGGCCTCCTGGGAACCAGGTTGGCCTCCAGGGGGAAGCATGGTGCTCTGGCGCCCTCTGCTGGTGGGAGTGAGAACACCAAGAGGGCTCCACTTGCTTCCAGCCGGCCACCTCCTGAGGGCTTCACCAGGCAAGGGGGACACTGGAATCAATAAGGCATCCATTCCTGAAGGGCTCTCCTTCCCCTTGGAGGAAATGGAGTATTTATAAAAGGGTCCCAGGCCTGGGCAAGCCTGCGTAATCCCAGAAGACTTCCTGGAGGCGGTGATGTATTAGGTGATGGGCAGCCCAGCTCAGGAGCTCGGTTCTTGGAGGTAAAAATGACCAAGGTCTAACTGACCAGAGCAACTGGCACAGGTCTCCCTTCTTGTGACGCTAAGAAAGGCCAAGCTAGGCACTGGCAGAGTATTTGCTTACATCCACGAGGATTTCTCCCCAGTACCAGCACTGCAAAAAAAGAAAAGAAAAGCCAAGAATGTTGTCTGAGCTGCACCTTGAAAGACATGGGCCAGAAGGGAGAGAAGAGGCACAGGTGTGAGGGTCGACTCAGCCGAGGCCCTGGGTGTGATCCCCAGCACAACCAAAAACCAACAGCAGCAACAGTCAGTGTTGAATGGCATTTAAAACCAGGAATCAATAAATGGGATGGAATCATACTAAAAAGCTTCTTCTCAGCCAAAGAAACCATCAGTGAGGTGAAGAGAGAGCCTACAGATGGGAGCAAATCTTTACCACACGCAGATCAGATAGAGCGCTGATCTCTAGGGTATATAAAGCACTCAAAAACCTTAACACCCCCCCCAAAAAAATAATCCAATAATCCAATCAATAAATGGGCCAAGGAACTGAACAGACACTGCTCAGAAGAGGATATACAATCAAACGTATTTTTTTTAAAAAAAGTTCATCATCTTTAGCAATTAGAGAAATGCAAATAAAAACTCTAAGATTTCATCTCGCTCCAGTCAGAAGGCAGCTAACAAGAATACAAACAACAATAAGTGTTGGCGAGGATGTGGGGGAAAGGCACCCTCATACGCTGCTGGTGGGGCTGCAAGTTGGTGCAGCCAATCTGGAAAGCAGTGTGGAGATTCCTTGGAAAACTGGGGATAGAACCACCCTTTGACCCAGCTGTCCCACTCCTCAGTCTATACCCAAAGGACTTTAAAACAGCATCCTACAGGGATACAGCCACATCAGTGTTTAAGGCAGCACAATTGACTGTGGAGCCAACCCAGACGCCCTTCAGTGGATGAGTGGATAGGGAAACTGTGGTGTATCTACCCAACGGAACATTACTCAGCATTAAAAGAGAATGAAACCATGGCATTTGCAGGTGAATGGATGGAATTGGAGAAGATAATGCAGAGTGAAGTTAGCCCATCCCAGAAAAAAAACAAAGGCTGATTGATTTCTTTGACATGAGGATGTGAACTCATAATGGCTGGGGGGGGGGCGCTTTTACATCTGAAAGGGGCTGGGTTTCAAGAGGAAGGCCCAGGTCAGACCCTGAGGGTGGCCGGAGGGAGTGGCTGGGCTGAGCAGGTGGGAGGGTGGCCAGATCCCAGAGACTAAACCCAGGTGGAGCGGGAGTAACTGAGCTCCGTCCTTGACCTCACCCTAATGATGGGGAGACTGAGGCTCAGAAGGGGAAGAAGCTTCCTGGAAGGTTCCAGAACACCTGCCTTTTTCTGCTCTCGGTTTCCCGGTCCTTAAAACAAGGAGCAGCAAAAAGATCTTGAGCCCTCTTCATCGGTCACATGCACGGGGCAGACAGGGCCCAGGGGAACGTGGAGATAATGGGAAGTGAGTCGGGGAAGACGCCTGCCCCTCGTGGGCTGGGGATCGAGGAACCCGGGCCCTGAGCCACACCCCTGCCCCCTGCCTCTGTGTCTCCAGGAAGCTGGCCCCTCTGCTCCCGGAGGAACTGATAGCAGTGCAAGTCTTTTTTACATAAAATGTAGCTTGTGTCCCAGGATTGCAACTGATCTGAAGGTCTGTCTGCACACAAAAGGCTCATCCGCTCCTCTGAGACTCTGTTTCAAAAGTAAAAAGTAAGGGGCTGGGGCTCAGCGGCAGAGCGCTTGCCTAGCGGGCGTGAGGCACTGGGTTCTATCCTCAGCATCATATAGAAATAAACAAAATACATGCATTTTGTCATTTGTTAACTCCAAAAAAAATTTTAAATAAAAAATAAAAAGAGCTGGGGGTGTGGCTCCACAGTAGAGCCCTTACACCATGCCAGAGGCTTGGGTTTCATCTCAGCACCAAAAATGCATTAAAAAATACATAAATCTGTCCTGAGTGGCCACTTAGTCCCAGCGAACTCGCCACCCGCCCTCAAAACAAAAAATAGGAAAGGAGACTTTCACTGGTATCTGGAAGACAGTGAGAGTCAGCATCTCAGCCCTCTCTCTGGGGGACCCGTTGCCCAAAGCTTGGTCCTTGTCAATCCCATAATGAGGAACCTGGTTTTGAGATAAAGAAAAAAAGGCTTATCATTTCGCTAGCAAAGGAGAAAGAATCAGCGGGAACTGGAAGTATCTAAAGAGGTGACTCAGAGAAAATGAGATGAGGGAGGAGAAACCTGGAAGGAGATCAGGGAGGAGAAGGTCAGGGAGAAGATTTGGGAAAAAGAAAAAAAAAATGTGTAAGTTTCAAAGTGACAAGGGACGTGGTCAAAGCCCCAGGGAACCCTGTCACAGACTGACGGGGACTTTGAAGGACTTTTTGTTCATTTTTGGTTGGGGGGCTGGGGATTGAAGGTGCCCTACCACTGAGCTGTATCCCCAGCCCTTTCTCTTTATTTTATTTTACTTTTTTTTTTTTTTAATTTGAGAAATGGTCTCACTGGCCTTGAACTTGCCATCCTCCTGCCTCGGCCTCCTGAGTCGCTGGGACTAAGGTGTGCGCACGGAGCAGCTTGACTTTCCGGCTTTATAGAAGCGGGAAAGAGGGTGAGGGCGAGGACCTGAAGGGCTGGACATTTTGCTGCCGGAGCAGGTGACCTTGGCCGGCCAGGGGTCTGGTTGGGCAGTAGCCCAGGGTTGGTCAGGTGGGGCCTCATCACCTGGAGGAAGCTGCTGCCTGAGGGGAAAATCCTTTTTTCTTTCTTTCTTTTTTCTTTTACCCTTTGGCCAATTCTGGGGATGGACCCTCCCCTATGCTAGGAAGAGCTCTGTCATGGCTACCCTAAGTTTGTCCTTGAACTTGCCGTCCTCCTGCCTCGGCCTCCCAAGTGGCTGGGGTCACCGGCCGCGCCACCGTGCCCAGTGGCCAGGGAAGCAGTTGAGACTGATCCCCAGGTGTGGATCCACCAGAACCTCTGTTCCTAGAATCCAGGGTGACCCAGAGCACAGGAGGCCATGCCAAGTTTCCAAGCCCTTGGTGACCTGGGAGGTTTACAGGCCAGGTGGGAGGTCCTGAGGGTAGGTACCACGGCACCAGGTGCAGGTCGGGGGCGGGTGCTCCCCATACCCCATTCCAACACGCGTAGGTGAGGTTGGAAGGGTCAGGTAGGAGTTGGGGGTCACCAAGATGCTGGGGGCAGGGCAGAAGAAAAGTGCCCCTGGAGGACCAGCTGGGGAGGGGTCACCCGGTCCCTGGTTATGATGAGTCCCGTTGCCATGACAACCCCCGCCATGGAGGACCTAGGGCCCATGACTCCTGCCATAGGCTACAGTGACCAGTGGGACAGTGTTCTCATTGGGCATCGTGAGGTACCCAGTGGGAGCAGGTGGGACAAGGTCTTCACCCAGGTCCATGTAGGGAGGGGACCGCCCCCAGCCCAGCACTGGACACTGATTTCCAGACCTTGGGGCCCTGAGCCTCTTGGCCACTCTGCCTCCGCCTTCACAGATCCGGACTTTGCCTGTTATGTCTGTGTCTTGCTCCATTCTTTATTCTGGACCCCAAGGGCCTGGACCCCAACTGGACACCCCAACAATAACACAAGGGGTTTGCTTGTCCTGACGCCACGGTGCCTCTCTGTAAGCCCCGTGACTCGGGAGGCCGAGGCAGGAGGATCACAAGCTCCAGGCGGGCCTCGGCAGTTCAGTGAGACCCTATCTCAAAATAAAAAGATCAGAAGGACCGGGTGGCAGTGGGTCCCCGGTGAGAGAAGTCCCCACAGTCCCCACGCAAAGACACTTCGCCGGGAGGATTCCGATTTCACTGCACAAGGCTGTGTGTGTGCTTACACAGAACTAGGGGGAGATGGCAGGGTTTAGATACATGGCGGGCCACGCGTTTATTGGTAAGTTCTTCCAGATATCAGCTCCCGCGCCCAGGAATTAGTTCTCATTGGGGCTAAGGTTCCCCGCCAGCGAGGTTTGAAATTGGCGCCGGTGGGAGAGTTCCCACGGGCGGGAACTTTTCGCGCCATTGCAGAAAAGAGGAAGGTAGGAAGAAGAGGTCCTTGGGCGCCATGTTGGGGTTTTTCCCTGGGGTGGGGCGGCTGCCGTTGATCCTTTTCCCAACACCCGGGACAGGTGGTGCCTGGCACATGTGAGGTCTTGGGGTGGAGCACCTCAAAAAATATAGAAAGGGCTAGGGATGGAGCTCAGGGGTGGAGCACCCCTGGGTTCAATTCCCAGTACTGAGAGAGAGAGGAGAGAGAGAGAGAGGAGAGAGAGAGAGGGAGAGGGCCAGACGGGGAAATTCAGTTATTTCTCTAAAGCGGATTTCTCAGAAGTCCAGAGAGATGGCTAGTTTCAGTGTGGAGACACGACATGATGTCGCCGTTACCAGTTCCCTTGAAGGCTGACCAGAGAGTGACCAGGCGAGCGCAGAGCAGAAAGCGAGAAGCTGTATTTAAAGGCTGGGACAGGTTCTCCCGGAGGAAGACGGGACCAGGTGGAATCCCCCCCCTGTTACCTGGGCGACTCTCTTTCACATTGTCCCTCCTCCCGTCTGTGTGTGCGGCTGGGAGATGCCCCGGGAAAGCCAAAAGGCCAGAGGCAGATGGCGAGGGCCAAGGTGGCAGAAGGGGGCCTGATGAACAGCTCCTGTAGGAGGGACAACGGGGACAGTCACCTGAGCAGGGGCAGGTCGTCTTGATAAGGTGGACGGAGGGCTCTGAAGGCATCAGCCTTTCAACCCCTCTCCAACTTCCTGGACTCACTTGATCCCACCTGACTGCATGTCTATACCGCCTGCCTGTCTGATTCTGGCTTCTGACTCTATTTTGGCCTGGTCTGTTGGGGCCCTGGGCCAGAGCTCAGACCAAGACAATGGAGTGTAAAGTTTTGTGGT